GGGGTCATGGTAGTTTGAAGTCAGAAGTCAACTGCCAGTTAATAGACTTTTTTGCCGTATGAGTATACGTTGCCCAGGGTACACCACGTGGAGGTAAGTCTATCGCAGGCCCCATGTCATTGCCATAGAGCCTAGACCCCAACCATTTCTCATTTCATTCGTGCTGACTTTCACGGTTCCATATAGAGTGTCCCTCTAGTTAAGACTTGACTAACTATTCAGACTACCGAACCGGTATAACTGTTCTCACAAACGGGTTGGATATCAATCATTTTTTCCTCTAGGCTTCTGCTCAACACCGAAGACGATTGAGAAAGCGCCAACCTTCGAGTGGGGAGGTTTTTTCGCATTTCATGTATACACAATGACGGAGAAGATGGTAAACCCGGAATTACGCCTTTTATTTATTATTTTCTAGAAATTATTCTACGAATTCTTGGTCATTTTACACTCAATTTTTACGTCAACAATAGAACAAAATTTACCCGTGTTTTGCTTCCTCGTCAACAAAGCCAAATAAGTCATTAATCCCTGTGAGCAAAGAAGTTGCAGAATTCGGAGTTCTCATAGGAGAGGTTCAAAAATGTCACCTCCCTGCCCAAAATGGGCATTTAAATAGTCAGTGAACACCCCTGTCAAGTGTATCCGGGCAATTAACAAGAATGATGTTGAAATGAAAGTTCATAATAAATGGATTTAGAATGTCTTCGCTTGCTCAAACTAGGTGTAATAACTCTTAATTTATTTAAAATATGTCGAATCTTTCACTGACCATAGAATTAATAGCGAATATAAATAGCTAGCTGGTTTGCCTATGCAGATTTATCAGCAAGGAGTTTATCTAAGTGTATCCAGGGTTTATTCTCCTTTTATCTCCATATTGAACTATCGTCTAAGGTGTAATTTTAAATGAATTTTAGTTAACTCAAGAAATTATTATATGCAGATTCGACTTTGTTTAAACTGGTATGTGAAATCGATATTTTCTGTTGTTCTGTCGTCACAAGCAAGTATGGCCCAAAAGTAGTCTACTCAAGCTTCGTTGATATGAGAGGGCTTTGAACGATACCACCGGCACTCTTCTTAGACAAAGTTGTTATCAAAACTTGGCCGAATGAAGACGAAATTAGACCAACAAAATGCACGCCCTAAGAGCAAAGCAATCATTTTCTTCAGCACTCACAATCCTCCGGTCTGCGCGCATAAGTCTGTGCGCACGTGTGTGAATTTTATAAAGCAACCAATGGGAACGTAGGAGGATAGCCATTGGCTTGTGCTACTGGCGCCGTTGTTGCTTGTATGTGAGTCAGGCCCACTTCGCTTTTACTCTCCATTCTTGATAGGCGTCCCCATTCAACAGATAGTAGTGTATATTATGAAGTTCCTCTTCAATCTACTCGTGATTTCGAGTGTATTGGCCTTTACCACTAAAGCACAGTCTCAATATAACGTCGGCTGCTCTAAGCACAAAACACTCCTCCTTTGTACTGGTGAACAACCCAATGAAGATGATCTTCAAAGTTCTGAACTTCAAACCATTATGATGGTGAAACTTCCCGAAGGCACTTGGCTGTCCCTAGAGAAACCACAAGTAGCAACAGGTGAAATTCAGAAAATTGAAATCAAATTCTCCTCCCTAGCCAAAGTTGACCCTGGCTATTTTGAAAGTGTCAGTGGGAGGAATAAGCTCAAAAGGTTAGAATTTCGTAATGTTGATGGCTCACTTGTTTTGGACAAGAATGTGCTCAAGGGGTTAGAGAAGTCGTTAAATTACTTGTCTGTTTTCTACGGTTTAAAAGTGAACATTGCCGATTTGACTGTATTAGAAAATCTTATTCATCTGGACCTTATTAACACCACGATTATTGGAACACTGGCCGATTTCGAAAAACTCCTTCAGCCACTACGATCGCTTGAAATTAAAGATTGCAATGTCAACCAACTACCTTGGGATGCATTGGCTAAGTGGGTTAGTAGTGGTGAATCAAAACGACTCAAAATTCATGAGAACAAATGGATGTGCGATTGTTCAATTGCTAAAATCAAACACCTTCAGTCAGGTATAATTCAAAGGTAAGAACCCAACTTTTCATTATTCTTTTTTTACAAATAGTAATGTAAATAAACATTCAATTAAAGTCTATGTGTAAACATTTTTAGCCAGAACTAGTCACAGGGTAATTATGCTACTAAAGTAATATACCTTCTATATTTCCACCGTAATCAATAGTATTCTGTTAATTAATGAATTAATTCTTTAGTGAATTCATTTTTTTAATACTCCAGTGCAACTATTTAGCAGAATCTATTTAAAAATGTTAATAAAATTGTCAATATTAGTTCACAATTTGATGTCAATTTGCTTCACTCCACAGAAATTCCCAGATAGCCAGGTAACTATGGGGGAAATTTAGTTAATTTTTTTTCATATTTAACTAACCACTTATTTCATCGAGTAATTTTTATAATTCATCAAAACCCTAATTGCTGTCAAAATTGTAATTGCATTCATTTTATTGCCTTTAAAATGTCAATGCATATAGCTTACCGTCATTTTAAACTTTATAATCTTTTAAATTCTAATGAGGACATTGGTTGGGAAAATTAGTGGATAATAGTACTTGAACTTACAATCCAATTGCTCAAATAGTTCATTTAATAACCGGGAATGTACTTTAGTACACTTTCTCTAACATCCTCTGCGTTTCACCAGTTTTCACATACTGGTTGCGTTCTTGTACAAAGAGGTGAGTATTTTCTTTTTGAACGAATTTTGTGTTCCCCTAAGGTCAGACCTGTGAAAGTAAGAACACACACACACACACACACAAGAAAATTAGAACGACTTTTGCGCTACCAATAGCTCGAAAAGTATACGTAACCTTGACCTCATTCATCTAACTACATTACCATGATTTCTTATTTTAATGAATTTATTTCTGCACTACACATCTCGATAAAATAAAAAATATATGCAATTACATTGTGGTTCGTTGTTTTTTTGCCTACAATTCAATGAAAGCGTCTAATGCATTAAATAATTATTTGAACAGTTTATTGACATGCTGCTATCTGTTATCTGGTTTCTGATTGGGCTAGTCAAACCACCCTATCGAGAATAAAATAATTTGCCAAAATATTGAAGCCCGTTTACTTATTCACTGATTTGATTGCTTGGGTTATCAAAGCGGAAGTTACTTATTAATTAGCTCAGTCTATGATATATATATATATATATATATATATATATAA